CCATCTCGAAACATCGCCAGGGGACTGCTTCCTGAGCCTTTGCACCAGCTACTGGAGTGGTGCAGACGCAACACAAGACCCCCTGAGGGGAAGCAAGGAGCCGCGGTCAAGGAGCCCACGACCAGTGGACTGTCCGCCGCTCCCGGCTGCTGTCCCCTCCGGATCTCATCACGCCCCCTTTTCCTTTAAGACCCTCAGGTTTTACAAGACATAATTCAGCAGTAATAACAGCTGGAGACCAAGCCTGGTCAGACGCCCACACACACCTGAGCCAGGCCGGCTCCGCTAGACGCAGGAGCGGGACGGTGATGCTGGACCTGGCCCTCTGGCGTCCTCTCTGCCCTTCTCTGTGCGGTTGGATGCACTTCTCCCACTCAGGGCCCGGCTCTGACCTGAGGTCACTTCAGTGAACTTTCCCACGAGAAGCTCAAAGGTGATTCCCACGCCCAGGGCGGGGCCTTTGCCAAGACAAAGGTGCACATTCAATTTCTTTGCGGCGCTTCCTTTGATCGGCAAATATAAATCGCGTCATCTGATGAGTTTTTGTTTTTGCTTTGTCTGCCAGGAAGCTCAGCACTCACTTTAGTATTAAGACATAACTGTGTCACCTCTGTTAGCAAAGCATTTACATTTTAATTGGAACATCTGCACTCTGGGCCTTTGCCAAAACGTTTGACCCCGAGCAGCTGGCAACTGAGCTCCAGCTGACCAGCTTGCTGAGTGACAGGCCGGTGATAAATTTAGCCTGCTGAGTGCCATCAGTGCTCGATGTTACTCCACGTTATTTCATTCACTCCTCCCGGCCCTATGGGGTAGGCACTGCACTGCCCGTTTTATATTTGAGGAAACTGACTCAGAAATGTAGACTTCCAAGGCACATGTCAGCCACTCACTCTCGCAGGAATTCCTGGTGCTACCGGAACATCCAGTAGATCAGAAGATACAAGCCTGAGCTCCTCACCAACACCCAGGGAGAGCCCACAACAAACTGGACAGCAACACGGCCAGAGGCTCAGGCCAGCCTGTGTCATGTTCTAGGGGGACTCTGAGACGCCAGCAGGGCACAGTGACAAGAAATGAGGAACCTGGGGACTGGGTGTGTCCTCCTGGAGCGAGAAAGCAAAAGGGAGTCTCGGCCACTGACTGCACCCTCTTGGGTGAGAGGCACAGAGGACCCGGCTTCAGTTCCACATACAGAGAACATTCCAGCATCTTGAGATTCCCACCTGCATCGGAGATGAGGGTTCCTGAAGCACAAGCTTTGAGCACAGCTTTGGACCTTTTAACAAATCGCCGCGAGCAACACGTAAAGACCCCTGGAGGAGTCCAGCTGGCTGCCCTCCAGCGTCACTCTCTGAAAGCACGTGCTCGCTGGACAGAGGCAGCCTCTGTCCCCGGAGAAATGAATTATCTCTGAGGTGCTCAGAGGGCCAATGCGGAGGAAGGAGACAGGCCAGAATGACCTTGCATGGAAGCCCCAGCTGTCACCCCCCACCAGTGCCCCCCTGTGCCAGCAGCCGGGAGGGCGTGGGCTTGATCAGCGCTCCTGTGTGTCTCCCACCGTCGCGGCCACTTGGTCACACCATCACTCCCCAGGACGCGTGCGTGGGGGGCAGTCACTGGCTGAGCGGGAAAGCAGCCCAGGCGTGTCCAGAGCCCTCCTCCCCCAGGGCAAGGCCACCAAGCAAGTGCAGGCGGGCAGGCCGCTAAGCAGGCCGGAAACGCACAGAACCGCCTGCTCTCCCCCCCCGCGAACCTCAGAGTCCCCCGTCCTGCTCACCGCACAGCAGACACCCCACGGCATTCACCTCTGTGCAGGCAAAGGTGACTTTCTTCTTATTGGTTTATTTTTGCTTCCTTTTCTGGAAGACCCAAGCCCCTCAGAGCGGTCTTCTGATGGGTCAGACAGCAGATTCACCTTGGAAATGGAGGACCCTTAATGCAGAGTTCTGGGAACACTGAGTTCACCCCAGCGCTGCACCCTAACGTCCTCTGTCCACCTTCAGAGCCGTCAACCGTAAGTCTACCCACAGCCCTGCCCCGTCCACAGCGCTTTGCAGACACTTGTCAAGGGCTGTGCTTGGCTCCATGCACCGTCTGCAGCAATAAACGTAAAGGCTAATCGACCCCCTGGGAAAGCCACGGTCCCTGAATAAAAATGTCCGTTTACCTCGTGTGTGCTCTCGGAAGGGAGAGACCCACAACCAACACTTGTCGCTCCTCCCCCAGGAGTTTTCTCTGTGGATCCAATTCCTCCGTAAATAATGCAAGGCAGCAGATTCCCAAAGGCCGGCAGATCTACAGACTCCACGGGAAGGAAACCCAGAGCGCACAAAACCCCGGCCTGGTATCAGTTACGACAACAGCGCTGAGCCAAACTTAAGACCGGGAGGAGCCGGGCGGCCCGTCCCTGCCCAGCGCCCGCAGATAAAGCCCTGCTTGGACGCCCGCCGCACAGGCCAGGAGGATGGCCCGCCACTACTCATCCAGGTCCACATGGAGCCCACTGGCTACTGGGATTCGATGAGAACACGGGCGATGGTGGGGATTAAAAAGGAGGCTGTCGTCGCTCTGCCCTAGACACGGCAGCTCCCACTCCTGCCCCTCTGCACCCGGGGTCCCCCCCAGAGGCCCCCGTGGCACCAGGTGACCCTGACCCCAGGTCCCACGCCACCCCCCAGCAAGGGTGCCGCCCTGCCTCTCGGGCCCTGCGTGGCCTCCGGCAGGTGCCGTGACTTCCCCTGGGTTTGTTCCCCGGATGCTGTTGTCAAGGAAGTGCTAAACAAAACAGTGGACCTTTGAAGCCCCATAACAGACCTGGCCTTGGAGCAAGCGGACAAAGCCGTGGGGCCTGGCCGTACCACGCAGTGAGACCACTGGTGATGGCGCCTCTCGCTCCCAGAAGCAGCCCGCCCTGAAGGCCTCAAGTGCAGCTGCCCAGCTCCCGCTCAGTGCTTCCCTTCATCCACGTCAGGAAGGCTCACTGGCACCTGCCAGTAAAATCCCCGCACACGTAGGTGTTCCACGAACGGGAGCTGAATGGTGAAAGGCCCAGGTCTGCGGGTCAGGAGCCCTGGGTTTTAGTTTTACTAAATCCCCCCCTTGTAAACTTGACCAAGTCAATACATCGCAAAAATTCAGAAAGATTATGAGGCTCAGGGCACGTGTCCAACTTTGTCACAGTTCCCTGAAGCCAGAACTCTGCAATGTTCCAAAAGGAACAACGCAACAGCTCTGATGAACACTTCAGGGTATTTTTCAAAATCACAGATTTGCAACACCTACTGCTATAGAAAAGCAAAGCGCCTCAGGTCTGAGAGATAATGAGCCCCTGACAGCTGTTTGGGGAGGGGCTCTCAGCCCTTCCTTTGTGAGATGGGGAAACGCCTGCTTCAGCTGACCGTGGGCAACCTCCAGTATCTGTGTGTTTTATTTGCGCACACCAGGCTTTTTAAAGAAAAGACCAAGTGGTCCAGCAAGTTTTAGTGTTATTTCATTTCTCTCTTTTAAAGCAAACTTTCTCCTGATCCCCAAGCAACATGGGGTTCCCTGCTTAGCCCAGTGCTTCAACGGTGATTCAGACCTCACTTTCTAAGCGTGGCCCCAGAGGGTCCAAACCTGCAGCCACATTCTAACACCATCCCCGGTGACTCAATAACGTCTCAGTTTGAGCGCCCATTTTAGACAACACGCTGCTCACGAGGCAGATATCCCCGGGGCGAACATGCCACGCCTGAAATCACACTGGTTTCCCCGTTGCGCATGCTTGGCCCCAATGCCACGGTTTGGGTGAGTGTGGTCACTGATAGAGGAGCCTGGAGGACGCCCGCAGACGGAAGTCTCCACAGACACATTTCAACAGGGTGAGACCTGCGACCGCAAATCTAGTGCCAAGGGCGTCAGCAGAGAGGCCGACGGACACGAGTCTTCTAAGGGGCTCGCGTGACCTCCAGCCCCCGTCCTCTGAGGTGGGGACAGGGGCGTAGAGCCTGGCTCCACCTTCCCTTCGCACGAGAAGTGATCGTGAAATTGACCACAGCAGCAAACAAAATCTGAGTCAACACAGTCACACCCAGGGCCTGTCTGCATTAGGACACCCCCTCCACCTCCCACAGACAAAGCCAGCGTTAGGGTAAAGTCTCCCGTATAAACAGTCGTTTAGCGCTGACAGCAGCACCTCCAACCCTCCCCGCACGTGCTGGCACTCGCGCGGGAGGCCTGAGGAAGGACAGCGTGCTGACAGACACCGTGAGAGGGAAGCTCTTCAGTTACCACCGGCTCAATAACTCACGAAGCGCGTCTTCTGTTGTACCGCCAACCCCACCGGTCACACGGGGCTGGAAGGCCTGCAGCAGGAATCCAGGATTGACGCCGTGATGAGCGCTGCAGAGGGCCCGTGCCAGAACGTGATGGGACCCAGCTCAAAACCACATATGTGGATGGAGCAGATTAACTAAACACCAAACCAAAGACATAAAAAGCCTTCTTTATACTGAGTACCACGTCCTGCAAAAGCACAGGATCTCTCCCTGATCTGTCTCAGCATCAGTGGATAGCAGAGGCTGGTGAGACCAAGCAGGACCCTGAGGGGCCTTCCTGGGGACAGACCACCGCCCTTGTGTCCCCCACCTCGTTTATAAAAAAGGTTTAGCCACCTAGGCCCTCCCCAAGTTCCAAAGAGCAAATTTAATCAGAAAAATGAGGAAGTGCAGAGACAAAGGAAAACAGACAAGCAAGACAAAACAAGAGTTTAGCCATAAAACAGAGTCGAGGCCCTTCAGTCCCTCCCCAGGGCTATGGATAACGTCCTGAGCCACGCCCCTGAGCTGTTTTGCAGATACAGAAACTCCCACCAGGTGGAAGAAGGCAACTGCTGACCACCAGCCCACAGACCCCAGACCAGTTAGAACCAGAGGGTTGATGACTGAGAGTCCCAAAACACCAACCAATCAGAGAACTGTGCACGAGCTGACCACATACCCTGTGACCCTCTCTCTTACCTTGTCTTTAAAAGCCCTCCCTGAAAGCCAGCAGGGAGTTTGGGTCTTCTGAGCACGTGCTGCCTGTTCTCCATGCTTGGCCCTGCAGTAGACACTGTATTTCCCTTCACTGCAACCTCACGTCGGTAGACTGGCTTTGCTGCGCGTCTGGTGAGCGGACACAAGCTTGGTTTGGAAACACTGGTAGCTCGGTATTTCCCACAGCCGTTGCTCCCTGGGGCAGGGAGCGGTCCTCCCGGCTGCAGAGGAATTGCCCACCACGGCCAAACCCTCACGCACAGAGCGCCCTCTCTGCCTCACGCAGGCAAGGAAGAAGGCGCCCCCAGCGTGGCGTGACCCAAGAGCTGAAATCCCTGCCACCAAGGCACAACTGCAAACTCACAGCTAAAGTCCTGGGGGCAGCGGCGGGGGGGGCGGCAGCCTGAAGTGGCCTCTTGGAAACGGCAGAATCACTGACTGATCATCCAGCATTAACTATTCACCAATGCCCTTTTCTTGAAGTTCGACACAGGAAGGATTCAAACATGACAGACACAGGGAGCATCAGGAAGAACCAAAAGCATAATGAAATGCAAGGCTTTTTCTTACAGCAGTTTGCAAATTGGCCGTGATGTTTCGTAATCTGAAGTTTGGGTGAGGCAGTGCCAACACCCAGCTGGTGCAAGCTGGAAAAACAACTGGGCTGCAAACCCTTGGAAATACAACTTGATTACAACGAACGCCTCTCCCAAATGGAGCTAATCACACAGCATTCAGCTGCTCCCGGCAGCTTGCACGGGAGCACCGGACGTGCGTTCCTGTCTCCAACATTTGGGCCTCCTTGTCGGCTTGGGCCACACCCCTTCTGTGAGCCCCGTGGCCTGAAGCAGGCCCAAGTGTGGCAGGGAAAGGAGAAGGGGGCCCGAGACCCTGGGGGACTCTACAGGCCCAGTCTCACCTCCCTTCGTCTCATCCCCCAATAAGCTTTGAAAAGATGGTGACATCTTTCGTAAGATTCCTATGTTTTAATGAACGGTCTTTTCTATTTACAGGCTGTATGTATATATATTTAAAACCTGCCAGTGGGGTCATGCTTTACACCTGGCTATTTACTATCATGGTTAAGAACTCGGGCCGAAGCCACAGTGCCTGAGTGTATCTATGAAACGTGCATCAGAATAGCTCCTCCATCACAGGGCCGTTGCGAGGACTAAACAAGACGACCAGGATAAAGGGCAGAGCAGTGCCAGGCACACGGCAAGCTCTCCATGGGAGCTAACTGTTACTCCAAGTATCATTCGCCAAAGCTCCAAAGACTCTTCCACCTCATTCTTTCTAACAGCTGCGGATTCTGTGGTACGAATACAGCATACATTTAACCAGTCTCTTAATATGAAAAAGTAAGTTGTTTCTAGTATCCTTTTCTTCTTTTAATTTATTTATTTATTTTTGGCTGTGCTGGGTCTTTGTTGCTGCACGCAGGCTTTCTCTAGTTGCAGCGAGCAGGGCTACTCTTCGTTGCGGTGCGTGGGCTTCTCATTGCGGTGGCTTCTCTTTGTTGTGGAGCACAGGCTCTAGGCACGTGGGCTTCAGTAGTCATGGCACGCGGGCTCAGTAGTCGTGGCTCGCGGGCTCCAGAGCGCAGGCTCAGTAGCTGTGGCACACGGGCTTAGCTGCTCCGTGGCACGTGGGATCTTCCCGGACCAGGGCTCGAACCCATGTCTCCTGCACTGGCAGGAGGACTCTTAACCACTGTACCACCAGGGAAGTCCCTCTAGTATCCTTTTGTAACAGAAAAATGCAGCAGGGAAGATCCTTGCACAACCATCACTGCAAAAGCTGAAGCAACTCTACTCCCACCAAGAGGGCATGAGGGTGGGGCACCCCACGCCCCCGCCAGTGCCCGCTGTGCTGTGTGAGGCTTGGAGGCGAACGAGCACATGAGCAGCACCCAAGCCCAGGGTGGCGAGCCCGCAGGACGCCAGGCTGTGTGTGGCTGCCAGGCTCCCGCCTGCCCCGTCCCAGCTGAGCCCCCCGGGGCACCCGCCCTGATCCCCTCACCCCCCACCGTGTCCCCCATCTCCGTTTAGAACCTTTTGCTTTAGCTGCACCTGGCACGTGTTTACTTACAGGGCAGGTGAGGCCCGGACAGCACCAGCTCAGCCAGCAGGCCGCCAGTCCTTTAGCCCCAGGAAAGGCTCCATGACCTACATCAGCCAGGGACACGAAGGAGAACGAGGGTCTTGCTGGAGCAAGGAGAAGCACGTGCCAACCCGAGAAGAACTGCGCCGTGGGGCAAGCGGGGCCCACATCGCGCCTGCGTGCGAGTGCTCGCTTCTCCATGGGATCTGCATTCGGGAGAAACCACAGGGAGACCCAGGTCCAAGGCCCATCCTGTCTGCCGCAGCCCTGGGGCTGTGCGGGGCTTGGAACCCCGTATCCTGGGGAGAGAGGCGAGGCCTGACCAAACAGGCATGAGGCTCCCCCTTTCTAAAACCATGAGGTTCCCAGGACAGAAGGTGGCCCACGCTGCATCCGGTCTGGGGAACGGGATCTGGCGAGTGTTAACTTTCAGATGGTTAACTTTTACCTCCAAATACACGGTTCATACAGGCAATATTTGTGGCTACATGACATAGATTGTCAAAACAGCTAAATAAGCAACTTTCCAATACAGCCATCCGGAAGGGGAGCTTTGCAGATGGCCGAGAGCCACCCCCCACCCAACCGGTCATCTCCACCCCATGGGCCATCAGGCTCCGCCTGGCCCGGCACTAAGTGGCCACGTCCACAGAAGTGCAGCTTCCCTTGGAAGCCCAGTGTGGGGAGGGCCCCTAACTGGACGCCAGACTTCCCCGGCCTCGGCCGAGAGTCCAAGTGGAGCCCCCGGGAGCAGACACCTGGCCGCTGGGGTCCCGACGCCGCTCTGTCATGTCAGGACTCCACGCAATAAACAGGGACAAGCTGGCTGCTGTCTCACCGCCAAGTCCCCCTCACAGGACAGCGGACTCCACGCAATAAACAGGGACAAGCTGGCTGCTGTCTCACCGCCAAGTCCCCCTCACATGGACCCCAACCTAGGCATCCACCACAGCACCATCCCCTAAGAAGTTCCCTGCGTCTGAGCCATTTCCTCCTCCTGAAAAGCTCTCCCTGAGATTATAAACCGTCTTGAAGACGCTGAAGATCAACCACAGCCGTCAGAAGGTCCTGCTGGGTCCTCGAGTCTCCAAGACAAGCATCAGACAGCGGGTCACCCGTGACGCCGCAGAGCCCTCTCCAGGTCAGCGCACAGCCCCACGGCCCGCCGCCCGGCACGGGCAGCCCCGACCTTGAACCCCAGGACACCCGATCCCTGTGCTCGTGACCTTCAAGGGTGGGGGGCCGAGCACTAGCGAAACTGGGGTCCTTTCTGAGCTTCTGGGTTTCCTCCCTTCAAACGTCTCCGAAGGAGACATGGTTTTCTCCTGGTGGGAGAGGGCAGAGCTCCCCTGGTCTCTGCAGGTTACCAGACAGCCCTGCTCGTGGCCGGTCCCTTAGCAAACACGAAAACCAAGGAAGTGATCAGAAATTAACGGAAGCCAAATGGCCTTCATCCAACTGAATGAATGACATGTATCTTGCCCTGTGCTCCCCTGGATATTTATGGTGTTTATTCCCATCTTTTCTAGGCCTGAAGATTCCTGAGCTTTCGCCAGGCTGTCCTGTCACTGTGACAAACATGCTGGCTGAGGCCGCTGTGCCTGCGACTGCATTTCCCCCTCCAAACGGAACAGATCAGACATTACCCAGGCAGCATTTATTTTAGGAAGGCTTTTCATTATGGCGATGGAAAATGCCAGGGCTGAGGCTCCGTGGGCGCCCTCCAGACCTCCAGGCTCGCTCATTATCTGACACACGCACATGTTCCTGCCCTGTGCTGAGCGGCCTGGCCCACCCCTGAAGCCGGCAACCCAACATCCAAGTTGATTAACCGATGAAAGTTCTGGAGGAAGGACAGCCTCCGGATGGAGGCGAGAGGCGGGCGCTTCGTGCCGAAAGTGCTCCGAGGAGGAGCAGAGACATGGGGGCTCTCGGGGAAGGGGAGGCTCTGGAGAGGTCCCGGCCCAGATGTGCAGGGTGGGTATGCAGGTCGTCCTGGACACAGAGCTGACCCGCCCGCTGCCAGCTATGCCCACAACTGCCACTAAGACATGTGCAGAGGGGGGGGACTCCCTTTACTCATCAAAAACTACTGTTTATAAATTGTATACCTATGCATATATCTAGTTTCCCTGGACCTCAGGGAAACTGAGGTCCAGACAAAGTGGATAATTTGGTCACTCATAGTAGCGTGAAACCCCTTACTTTTTTTCCGTTACTCACAGATAATTTAATGATAGGGACATTAAATAACTCCTTCTGGGGTCCCTGGTCTGAGAGAAAAAACAACTTTTAGTCTCGATTTCCTTTTTCCAACATACTGAGGGAATCTGCAGTGTGTCAATCATATATGCCTCACTTACACTGCACAATTTGGGATACTTACCACAAATACCTCAACAAATGCTTCTGGAGCAGCTCATTCATTCACCTGTCACACTTCACACAAATACTGCTTCAGCGCAGGGGCCTTGGGGAGCACTGCTGTGTGGTGTATTTGAAAGTTGCTGAGAGAGTAGACCTTAAAAGTTCTCATCACAGGGAAAAAACCATTTTTTTCTTTTTCTTTTTTTCTTGTTATCTATATGATGGATGTTAACTAAACTTACTGTAATCATTTCACAATATATGTAAGTCAAGTCATTACGCTGTACACCTTAAACTTACACAGTACTGTATGTCAGCTGTATCTCAATAAAACTGAAATTGAAAACCATAAACATTCCTTAAAATAGCCATTTGTTTTCTTTTAATCCTGCAAACTAGTAACCATTTTTTTCAAATTTGGAGAACTGATACAAAGTTGCCAAATCTTTACAGTTCCAATTTTAAAATGCTTAAAGAAAAAAACCCTACCACCTGCTACCACAATCACTTCTTAAAAGAAAAATCACTAACAACAAAAAAAGAGAATATAATAAATTTTTTTAAGTCTTTCGAAGTGAATAGAGCTGACCTGATGGAAACGAGTCACTCGTCGTCCCTTTGGCACCGGGGATGTCAGGTCTGCCCCGCCCCCACCAGGTGCTCAGACCCGGTCCTCGGGGCAGCCCAGGGGAAATGATCCATGCCAGTCACTGCCGGGGTGCACGTCCCCCGGCCTCTCAAGGTTTCGGGCTATAAATCGCGCTTTGTAAGGGAGTGTGGACTGACTTCCAAGAACTGGATCTTCACTGAGCAGCCTGGAAAGAAATCAAGTTTGGGCCTCCACAAAACAGAGGGCGCACCCAGCCCCGCCGCCTGGGAACACTGAATGGGGTGTGTGTGTGTGTGTGTGTGTGTGTGTGTGTGTGTGATGCTGACGCCCCCGCCGTTCTTGCTACAGAGGAGGCGTCCTCTCCAGAGACCCAAGGAACCGTGGTGGCCGCACCGCCTGAGAAGCCCCTCGGGCGCTGGCTGTCCTTCCCACTGGCCCAGACCACGCTGCTGTCCCCCTTGCTTCCAGCAGCGAGCACACATGGTCAGTCTGAATTCTAAGCCCGCCAATGCCACCTTGCACCTCACTCCTGTCAGAAAATTCAGAGCACCAGGCCCACAAACAGGGCAGGCCAGGACAAGAGCGATGGGAAAAGCCTGCTTCAAAAGATCAGGAAGCCTCTGCTCAGAGTAATGTTGCCTTCCTGCCCCAGAGCTGCAAACCGTGTGTGATAAGCCCCATTTCCAGGGCATTTCACTCACAAAGCAGGAGGCCCGGGTCTGCCCTGACCCCCGCCTCCCTCTCTGGCTTCACTGTCTTCAGGTCTCAGGACCCGGGCTGCTCCGCCAGGTCTTATCACAGGGGTGCTGCCCCAAGACCTGAAGCCCCACATACCAGAAACAGGGGTAGCCTCTGAGCCAAACCAGAGCTGTCAGAGAGAGGAAGCTCACAACTCCGGGCCACAAATCTGCCGCAGATTCAGATGCTGTCCACTCACAGCCTGGGCCGTGGGACCAGAAGGTCACGACTCGCCGAACATCACACGTTGGTCTGTGCGGTCAGGACAAGACAACTGAGCGCTCACACCCCTGCCGGCACCACCAAGTGTGCAAATCTAGACAAGAACCCCTCCTTCTCACTCTCGTTTCCTTTCCACAAACGCTTCACTTCCAGTTTTTCCTAGTTGTTCATTTAGGACACAGCCCAGAGAAGCCCAAGGTCAACTCCAAACACAAGCCATGCAGAGAGCACAGAGCAGAGAAATCGAGAATATCCTTACAGGCCCTTGAACTCACTGCCAGTCAGCACAGGCGCCTAAAGAGGATGGGTCGCCTTTCAGCCACTCAGCGCTGATACACGGAACACTTTATAAACTGCTAGACTGAGGTCAATGGTAGTTCGTGGCCAAGGGAACAATTC